CGAGAAGAGGGCGAAGGGGGCGCGAGCGAACCGAGAAAATTGGAAATCGCTGCGAAATTGCGCCGGCAGGTTGCATGCCAGCTAGCCAAGATTATCTTCGCCGCGTTATCACTGCGCGGCGCGAGCGGGGGGGGGGCGGGCGTTGCGGAAGGCGGTCGGAGGAGACCGGGGGAGTCAATAACGGCGAGCGGACATAAAATACCGTGGTGCGGAATGCGCGCGAAACGGATACACACGCCGTTACGTGTTGTATCATACCGCGCCGCGATGCGGCACGTATGAGGAATGTACGTACACGGAGGAGCGGGCGACCCCCGGCTCGTGCCGGTCGCCATATCTTCTTCGACGGCGGAAATATCGAATTCACCGGGAGCGCGGATCATAAACACAAATGCGCGGGGCTCGCGTTGAATCGGCGTGCATATTTTTGTGCAACGGTGATTATTGTAACCGGAAATTTATGGGGTCTACGAGCGCGAATATATCAATAGTCGCGATCGGGGAGAAGAGAGAGGAGCCGAGATAAAACGGCGGCGCTTTTGACACCCCCGTCCGCGCATCAATTTCATAATTGCAGCGATGCGTGGCGCGACGTCCACAAATCACCGCATCTGTTGCTGCGGCTTTCGGAGGGGGAGGGGGGGGATGCGCGTTCCTCGATGCCAGGGACCGCGGCAGTGGCGAGCGGTCGTATTCTCCGGGCAAATCCGGGTATACGGGCAAATTAGATTGTGACGTCGGCTATGTAACAAATTGATGAGCGGAAAATCAAATGGGATTTATGGTCTTGCGATCGGCCTGGCTGGCAGGCCGACACGGCGCGCCACATTTGCAACTGCATGGAACGGCGGAGAGAGCACGTAGGAATTTTCATGTAATTTCGACATCGACGCCAATTTCAGCAGGTCAGGAAAAAGAAGCATGGGGGATAAAGAGATAACGAACGGGATACGTCAGTAAATTAGCGGCCGAGGGAATTATCCAATAATTAGTTTTTTTTTATTAAGAAAACAATGTTATTAATACCAAGTGAGAATCAGGTTCATATTTGCAAAGCGATGAGAAAGTCGTGGGTCAATAAATTCAGGGGCGAACGTGAATGTTGAAGTATCAAATTAATGATTTCCTACTTTCTAACGAGGATAAAGTAACAAGTGCAATGGATTTACGCAGATTCTTCATCAGCCATATACCTATTACATTCAAATCAAAACGCAGAATGAGTTGGAGACACGAGAGAGGGAGAATAGTAGATATAATAAATTAAAATAAAGTAAACGTACGGAGACAAGTTATTATAATAGGTTGATGAAACGCTAAGAAATGAAATATAAAAAAAGTAATACAAATTAAGCGAAATACTTGAATTACAACAAGCCTGTAAAAGGTCGTATTTAAACTTAAATTGTAACATTTATAAAATTAATTGAAAAATTAAATATATAAATCATGAGAGGAAAAGAATAAATAATAGAAAATATTGCAATTTCATATATGAAAAGTATGTTATTAACAGTTAATAAAATAAAATAAAATTTCATAAAATACAATAAATCGAGTAAAACTATACAACGTATACGCACGATTAAATTTAAATTATTGCGCAATAAACAAGTGCACACGCGGATAACGGAAACGAAAGCAGTGCCTGTATACCCGGTTAAAAAAAAGAAACCATTAAAAACACCGCCAATACCAGGTAACGCCGCTTTTTTGGGAAGTGCTTTTAGCGCATTTAAAGTCCATATCGTGCTATAAAATCGCGCAACAATTCTAACGAACCCATTGAATCCCTGGCCACGAATCGAAACATCCGTGCGCGTACACAGAAAATGCATCTGAGTGCATCTAAATGGAAAAATGTACCTCTACACGCGAATGAAAAAAAGCAGAAAATCCGCATTCGTGTCGCATAATAAATACCTGAGAAATCAGGAGGCATCGGTTCAATAGTTTTATTACTTGTACAACAGACTGTAAGGATGTCGCTTTCTCTCTAAGAGTCCAAGTTTGCGCAAGTTCAGAGTGATCGATGAAAATGTCGAGATAAATAAAAAATGTATATAAATAAATTTAATCGATCTGACATGTGTACATAAAATAGACCCCGTTCAATTTTTATCGAAAAACATACACGGATTACTCGTATAAAGCTATTATCGCGCTGTTACCGCCGCTTATGTTCAAACAGTTGTATCTAACAATAAGTAGAAGCCGCAAGTTCCACTTGAACTCATAGCTCCCGCGCCCTCAGAAAGGATTTCCGTTACCGAGACACAAAATATTCTTGACGCCCTTATGTTTCTCACAACCTTATTTAGTATAAAAATAAGACTATCAAAATAAAATCAATAATTCTTATTTTCCTGTATCGAATTAAAAAAGATTGAGACAAGAATAACTTATGTAAATGTAAGTTTGTATATTCTTGAGTTTAGAATAAATTTTCCCTCCATCTTACAACGCCGAAGTTGGCACCATCGACAAAAGACGAACCTAGATTTTAGAATTTTTCATTTAAGATTAAAATATTCCTTTCCCTATAATATAATAAATCTGATTGTCGCTATATCGATCCTATTTTATGATACATTGAAGCGCAACAGCATTGGAGCCAGAAATTTTTTCTGCGAGTGCGTGACTGCGATCGGATAAATTCGTTTATCCTTTCGCAAGAGCACGAATCTGTCAAAGTCGCTAGATTTCGAGCCACTTGTCTCTCGAAGCAATCCGGCGATCGACCAACCAGCCGGTCGACGAGATGAAATATGATAGTCGTTGCCCACGCCACGCCCAGTTTATCATATTTCTTGAAGTGCATTATCATAATAGCATCGTGCATGGGATCGGTCGGCCGCCGGCGTCGTCGTTTCGCCGATGACATGCCACGTCCCAAACTCGCGCGGAGATCGATGCGACCAGCGGCGTTGCGTCGCCCCGCGTCGCGGCGCCTCCCCCGGCAGGGGAGACTTAAAAGCAAGCGTCTATATTTAACCCTTATGACGAGAGCTCTTTAAAGGGCGGGGGAGCGCGAACTTTTTGTCGGGGCGGCGCGAGTTCTTACGTGCAAGTTTATGAGATATACTCAGGTGTAAACTAAAACGCGCGCATTATCTCAATAACGCGCATCGTCAGGCTCAGGTGGCTGCGATGATGATCGTCGCATTCGTATAACGATTGTGTCTGCCATGTGTAGCGGACAGAAGTAGTTTATAAAAACCTGCGTTTCATCCATTCCAATTGTGAAATGTAGAACGAAATGAATCTACATAATAGAGATCTAATTTACCATTTTTGGGAAAGTAATGAAAACAGCTGCATAATATTTCCTACATAAAGACGAGAGAAAGAGAGGGAGGGGGGAGGGAGAGAGAGATTTTCGATACGCAGAGAAAAATGACAAAATGTGACTCGGCTTTTTGTTTGCCTATTGTCTACTGGCTTAACGTCAAGCTCTGGCCAAAATGATTTTAAATTTAAATATAATCTTTTCGTATAATTACAGAATATCGCTCGCCCTCTTTTTTGTAAAATAGTACAGGCAGTTATCTGGCACAGCCATCTTGCATATTATGTAAAATATACGGTATGAATACTGAAATCGTGCTACAGCTTCGACTACAATATTATGTCACGTTATAAAACCTCAACAATACGTATGCGCATACTAATGGTATCAATATTTAGTTTCGCGTATAACTCGGAAAACGCTGAATGAAAATATTGCGTAATGTTTATTTCTCGTTTATCTTACTTATCGATTTCGTTACATTATAGTCCTGACGAAGTCTCAGAAGATGTTAAAGCTCAATTGAAAATTATGATATTTACGAGAAATTTCACGGCGGTATCTGCATGTAACAATCGGCACGTAATAATAGGCTGCCAACGATATAATGTGCGTTTATTCACACAAATAAAAACTAAATATGAAAAACTTGTAATCATTGCGTTAATCTTACATGCACTCCGCTCTTATACGCGTGCATTTGTGATGACTTCATACCTCATGCATACCTGCATATTAGGTATACTTCTTAATTTTTTTTATAATAAAAAGCATTATTATCATTGGCATATATTTAATTGTGTTTCACGTATTATGCAATCCTTTTTTCTTCTCCGCTTCTGTCTTTTCCGTGTGTCTTGTATTTAATGTAATTTATTTTATAAATATTAATGGATAACAATTGAATGTCCTAGAAAAATTCTTTTCCATTTTATTTTCTAATACATCAATCAACAAAACAAAAGAGCATAAAATTACATCGAATTTATCGTGCAATATAAGAATTAAATATGCCGGCATGTCGGGGGAGTTTACGGTGACGAAAGAGCGGATAGGGAAAGGGAAAAGGCTACATCCTTTTCCGATGCAGAGCGTGTTGGTATAAGAAAGATACACGAGGGCGATAGAGGTATTGCAGGTGGGGATTTAATCAACTTTTCTTTTTATGTCGTAAATCTTCGTAGACGCGGCATCTTCGCCCACGCGAATCACCCTCTCGATTTTTTATGGAGACGCTCGCAGATGCACGTTCCTTAAAATCTGCTACATAAAATATTCTCTTTTTCCTTCTTTTCGTTATTTCGATTTTCCTGAAAGCTCGCATAACATGATTGCACTTTCGTGCAGCAAATTTGATTCTAATCAAACATCTTAAAACCATATTAACATGAAATGCAGGAAGATACACGTGTGTAGTTATATAAATGCTGAAACTGATTAAAAAATATATCAAAAAATTAATTTTCTTCAACTAAAGTGTAAAAAGTTTAATTTGAAGCTTAATATTTAATATATTTAATGAATATGATTGTCATTAGTCTGCAACAAGGGGGAAATATAAAATAATTGTATCAACGTGTCACGCTCATAAATCTAAAATAATTTTTAAGGATTTCCATACATATTTAAGTTTTGACACAACTTTGAATGTAGATTCGCGTAATTTACTTATCAAGCCCTTTATTAATCTCGAATATTCGTTTGTTTTCAGCGAAATCGAGTATGCTCGTCGACATCGAACCGAAGAAAGCCACAGCCGTCCGAGTAGGCGAGAGTTTGCAAATTCTCTGCAGTGCCCAGCAACCGCTTCGCGTATGTCGCGTAGAGATTCCTGGCGAGGCTAGCCTTGTGCTAAATGCGAACGAACCGCCGGAAGACGGGATCGAGTATTACGGCAGTGGACTAGACGCTGGCCAGTGCGGCGTCCGTATCGCTAAGGTGAAGGACACTCACGATGGCGTCTTCAGATGTTCCCTGACACCCATCAAAATCCGGCAAGAGTCAACTGCTTCTCTCAAGATCATCGTTGCGAGTAAGTTGTCACTTTCCGTTTTGACCCGACGAGATTCTGTCGTTCGGCTAGACAAGATCGTGAAATATAGACTTAATATATTGAAACTGTAGAAAAAACAATTATTTTTACAGTTATATTTTAAATTAGGCTTTCACTATGAAAATATTTATTGTGTTCTGAAGCTAAATACATCTGGAAGAAACTACAAACGTATAGAGATATTAAAATATCAGTTTAAAAAAATTGCTGCTCTTTTCAAATCACAAGAGCAGTATAATCATTTTGATACATAATCTGTGAATTTTGTGAATTCCATTTTTATCGATGACATTTTAGATTCACATCGCATGATTGCTCTTATATATTACACATAAATATTAACTCATACTAATTAACTCATAATAATTAAAAACGAGTGTAATGGAAACGGTATTTTATATATATATTACGAAATAATAAATAAATAAGAAATAAGATACCTTTGACAAAGAAGTTACGATGAAAAGAAAAACATTAATTAGAGCAAGAAGCAAAAAACAAGCGAACGCTTGTTTCAATCGCTATAGCTGTATTCGAAAAGTAATTAATCTTCCTTAAGGAAATTGCTTACGGAGACTGAAATAAGCGCCCGGAGCAAAATTACCGTTTAAGATGAACCCGATAAAGATAAATGGCGTGATTCGTGAATATCTTAGGAGAATCTGCTGTTATTTTAACGCAGAGAAACATCGTGGTGGAAAAAAGTTCAAATTAAGTTACTGACCGTCAGTCCAGATTCGAATAACATGTAATGGAATATAGAAAGTGTCGCCTACGTTGTCCTCTAATTCAATCTGACCAGATTGACGTGTACAATGACGCGGCGATCCAACGAAATTGTTACTTTAATTTCTTAGGACCACCCGAGAACCCCCAACTAGAAATGAGTCGCGGACGTAATCACGCAAACCGATACAAGAAGGGCGAAAAATTGGAAGTCAGCTGCAGCGCTCCGTATGGACGGCCAGCGGCGAATGTGTCTCTGTTTCTCGGTTAGTATATATTTATTAGGCAATACTCTAGAGAAGCGTGCCACCTTTTCTCAACTTCCGGATCTTGCGACTACGATTTGCAGAAACCAGGCTAAGAAAATGGTTTCGCAGAATTTAATTTGGATAATATAGCCAGCTAAGATATTCCAATCGTTTGAATAATAGATCAAAGATTCGTAATTTAAGATTAAACGAGAAGGTTTGAACATTTTATGCGAGTATAGCAATATTGTAAATGTAAGCAAAGGGATCTTTTTGGGTTGATAAAGTTTATTAATTTTTCCTACAAGGGAAAAAGGATAAAATAAATAAATAGTGAATTAATATTCCCTCTGTTTATAAGATATAATTAATTATACTAAATAAGATATAAAATACAGATAAATAAATACAGAATGCAGTATAAATAATAAAGAAATATGATTGCTCTTGTACTGAACATTTAGATGACGAACCGATTGGCGAGGAAAGGAGCTTTTATGTAAGCGATAACATGGGTCCCAACGATAATGCCTTGGCAATGCAGAACGCTTCGCGCAGTTTAGATTGGTTAGATAACGGCAAAATATTAAGATGCATAGCCAATCATATCGCCCTCGACAGGCCCAAAGAGACGTCTAAGCAACTCGTGGTAGACTGTAAGTCTTTTCTTACTCTATAACGTCTATGGAGATTCTCTTTCATTTTAACCGATCCTTGTATTCCATACATTTGTTTTCTTATTGCGCTTTGTATTTTAGAATTTATAATGTTCTTCGGCGTTAATTTTTAACTAACAGATTCCGTGCGTCTGTATTCAATAGTGAAATAATATTTTACTCCAATTAATTTTTATATAAATGAACTAGTTATTCGAATTAAGTATTGGACGTTTTTCGTAAAAATCATTACGCTGTACGTGCCGTCTTGCGCCCTTTTCATCGTAGATTTTAAAAGAAAGCTGTATATCTTTCTTCTTAGATCCACCTCAGCCGCATCACACCTTTGAACGTTTCGGATACGTGATTGGTAGACAGGGAGTCATCAATGTAACCATTTATGCAAATCCTAGGCCGCGATTCACATGGCGAGTAGACGACGAAAAAATTGAAGAGGGTCGTCCCGACGAAAGTAATCGATTGGAAACCTCAACCGCCGTCGATTTGGTAAGTTTCCTTTACATTTAAATCCCGTCGGTTTTCCCTCGTGCAATATACGGTCTAGCGAGTTAATTACAAATATTTTTTAATATTTCTAATTGCACAGACTGGCCGGCAAAACGCACACGTGATCGAGGATGGAAATACATTCTTTCAGTTTTTGCCATTAATATTAAACACCTCTGATCCGGTCTACAAAAATAAATTCTAATTAGAGAAAAAGAGACTTTATTCGTAGCTAATTCGTAGTCTCAAATTAGAAACGTCGAGAGAAGCATTTTAAGTTATCTTCTTGAAACAATCTGATTAGGTGAACGGTTCTTTGTTACGAAAAGCTAATCTTGAAAATTCTCTCAAGAAAGTACCATCGCTAGTGATCCACGTGTTTCGTTGGTCATTCAATTATTGGGATCTGACATGGAGGCGGAGCCTATATGCATACGTCATCGCCATGGCGTCGGGAAGCCTGTTTATTATAGTGTTTATTATGTTTATTATAGTGTTACGAAATATCAAAGAAACGGTGGATAGTCAATGAAATAAATGTCTTATTACGACAGGAGAAAATATCCTATTAAAAGAAAGGCATCGATACTATGGACAGTTTTAGCTAGGAATGGCAGTGCTGAATTTAAATTTAACTTATCTTCACAAATAGATTTAATATCGCCAGTAGTTTGAAATCAATGATATACAGTTTCTTTAAACAAACCTACACGGGCCAATGTTTTTATTAAAAGTATCGAGCTTTATGCAAACGTTGAGAGTCTGCATCTTAACTTATTTTCTTTTATTTTATGAAGGTCTTCGAAGTAACTGTTAGGTTTTTAAAAAGCAATTTATCGCGGAGTCCTAATTACTTTGTAAGTATGAAAAATCGATCGCAAAGTTTTTATACGTTAACTTTTAGAACGCGGAGAAAATATCCCGCAATCCGTAATAAAAATTAATTAATGAAACAGCACCTGATTATAATGCTCTATTATGCAATGGGCTTCTGCTTTTCCGTCAGATCCCAATAAGGCAATCGTCGCCGCGCCCTGCGACGTGTCGTAATGGCCGTATCACACTAGCGGTTCGCGTAGGCGTTGGCCGTTGCATTGGACCAAACATGCCCGGCTATTCTGAAGCCGCAAGCCGCCATCGCCAACCGCTGTTCTCCGATTGGTCGCCAACGGCAGCGCCAACGCGAACCGCTAGTGTGATACGGCCATAACGTGGTATAGACAGCGCGGTTCGGTTTAGCGTAAGGTCGAGCGAGAACGCATCCGGGACACGCCGGTGATTCGTTTAGAGATCCGAGCTGTTCTCTTCGGTGACAGATAAACCGTAGGGAAAAGAAAGGCGCGCGCGAGCCCAAGAAATAATTGGCGATGAGGGGGAGGGGCGAGCGGATTGGCGGAGGCAAATGAAACAGAAATCCAATATTGCGCGCCGCGACTCGGCGGCCGGGCCTCGATTTACCGTTTCGCCCGATGCATTCTCCATGCACCTGTGTGACAGCGCGCGCGGAGTGCAGCGCCGTAATGAAATTCCATTGAATTCAGACACGGCGAATCGATCGGGAGAGCCGCGCGATCGCGCGGCGTGAGCCGGCACTCGGAGGCGTTTGTTCCCGGGCCCATTGTTTCGTTAGCGAGAGGCGGTTTGTTCATCCCGTAGTTAAGGCTTAAATGGATTTGCCGATCTTGCAACTTGCGCTTTTTAATTAGTTCGGGGCGGCGAACGGAAGTGGAGCGACGACGTTCGGCCGCTCCTGAATGCGCCGCGTTCGCGTCGTTCCGAATCCATTTATTAGGGGAAGAAAAAGGAACGGGTGGGTGGGGGGATCCGAGAAAAAGAAATCTTGGCGAAATATAAACTTAAACTTGTAACGTTCCTCGGATACCGTTTAGAATTAGATTTGTTCGTAGGAGAGAAGAAGTCTCCTACGTTACGAAGATGCAAACGACCGGCGCACGTTTTAGCGCTTCCTCTTCATTTTAATTTAGATTTTTCCTCCGGTCTAATGCTTATGTAAAATCGGGAATTTTATCGTCGGACGCCAGCTGCTAGGTACGCCGTGGCGGAAGGTCGCGAAAGGCTGGCGAACTTCCGGACAAATGGGCTCGAGCGCGCGATTTCGAGCGCGCGAGAGGAGGATCGAAGCGTTAATCGAGCGGCACGCGCGCGGCAAACGCCGGCCCGAGTGCATTCAATGATGCGGGGCGATTCCCCGGTCCGAGGGGGAGAGATCTCAATGGCGTCCGATGATTTCGCCGGGAAACTCGCGAATCGGGCTCAAACTTTCGGAGCGCACGGCACACTTGTGCGAGCGTAACGCTCCGGACAACGGCGACGTGTGCCAGAACCAATAAAAGCCGCCGGCATCGCTGCCGCCGGCGCGGCGGCCCGGGCCGCTATTCGGCAGCCCGGCACCGGCTCGCGTATGAATGGCTTTCAAATAGGCTTGCGCGGCCCTCGCAAGTCTGCAAGCAACTTGCAGCGGATTACTGAACGGCAAGCCGACCGGGCGCCGCGACGTGCCGCGCCATTCGACGAATACGAATCAGCTTCCACTCTGAAAACGCAATTACTAACGGCGAGTCGGGCGAGAGGCGAAAGCTCGGAAAGGCTCGGTATGCCGCTTTCGTTCCTATAATAGCGTCCGAGAACAAGCGCTCGACGCGATATCGAGATCCGCCAAATGGATTTTTCCTCGATTAGAAAACTGCAGGGACAAAGCAAAAAAGTTTAATAAAAATTGATAGAATTTCCCCCCCCAAAAAAAACAGAACGCGGAGTTTTATTGTTGCGGAAAGTAACAGGGATGAAAAATGCAATAGAAATTAAGTGCATTTAATTCGAAAAGAGTGAACCTTATAGCGTTGGATTTATTCCTGCAATTTATTGCATAAAATTGTAGGACTAAATACCTACCCGAAATTAGATATCTTTGATTAAAAGTGGCGAATTCATTTGTCCCCCTCACCTCGCCTCTCCTTCTCCTCGTAACGAGCGTTATAATTATCAATTTACCTCTTTTTTTTTAATACGTACATAGTACAAAGATTGCGCAAAAACTCGTAGATTAATGGCGAGAGCTTCCGAACAATTTATAGTGGACGTACTTTCGCGCGCGCGCGCGCGCGGCGACACTTTAAAGGGCTTAATTAAAGGGTGTAATTAATGAGCGATGGAGCGCTTAAAATTAAGAGCACGGCGGAGCGAGATCGGATTGACGTCCCGTAACACACAGCAATGCTTTACAGGGGAGAGGAGCATGGAGCGTAATTCTGACGATCGACAGCATTCAGAAATCCGACACGGAAAAGAGCTACGTGTTGGAGGCGACCAACAACGAGGGATCGTATGAATATCGTGTCGTTTTGTCGACATCCTCAGAACCGGCGGGTAAGTTATTCAACAAATCCGATTTACGTAAGTCCTCTCTCCTACCGAAGGCGTCACACCGGGTGCACCTAGAAATACGGATCTTGTATATATCGGAGATAATCGGGGCACCGTATCGTGATAATTGGAGCACAAGAATGCGTGGCGGTCCTGACAATTTCGTTAATTGATTACTATCGAAAAATCAATTTTTGGAAAGTGAAGGGAACGACCTTAGCTCTTACAATATTTTTTGAAATATTTAGCACAATCACAGTTTGCTCGTTTCGTGAATACGGAGACAGTTTTTCCTACGGAAATTATGTCTGAACAACCTGTGAGACTAAAGATCTTGGCAATTAAAGTGTAACTGAATATTTGTCTAAGTGTGAAATTTATTTGAGTATCGAATTAAAACGTCTCATTCATTCACCTTTTATCAGAGTCTACCGAGCACTTCTTAAGCGATTTTATCGCGACTTTTTAGAAATTCGAATTTTCATCCGGTATAATTACATTTCCGTGTACGCCTTGCTCATTTGAATTATTATATTCTCGGGTTTCGAGATACGCCGTAGCGAACGGACGATAGGTAACACGCGAGCAATCAATATCAAACCACCACACGCTTTGTTCACACATTTTTTTTTCCTTTGATTGCCTGAATCAACCGGCGTTCACACTTGGCTGTCCACTGATCACCCACCACTACATATCACGATCATAATCATGTCACCGCGATCTCGCACGTAAAATCGTGGCTATCGTTCGTCGTAATCGCCGCAAGACGATCGGCCGCCAATCATCGTACACATACACGCGCGTTCTTTGAAAATACATTCCGTTTTACGTTTAATGTGCGTGTCTAACCATATCGATCCTTCACCGCATGCTCACGCAGGACCGTTCAGTAGCCTCTATGGTAAGCTCTCCGAACACATGCACGCACTAGGTAATGTCATTTTTTCAAATTACTATACGTAAGTAGTCTGTGTAGTCACGTAAACGCGCGGCGTTCCGTGCACGGCGGTTCGACCGGGGATGATCACGCCGGCAAATTAATAACCGCTATTTGGCTAAGGGCGTAATACACGTCGATCACGAGAGAACACGTTGACATTGATCGAGCGACGAGTAATTTACCAATTTCAACGGCGCACGACTGCGAAATAGTCTTGATTTCGTCAATGTGGATCGGGTCGGATCGCACGAAACGCTGTGCAATGAAATATGCGTACGTGTCGCGCTATAAACGTTATATTCACTTCGGCACAGTTTGTACAAGTTTACAACTCGCGATCTCAATGATTGCCTGTCGAGTTTAGTATCTTTCTTTGCAAAATCTATCGAGGATAATTAACTTTTGAGAGAAATACAATTTGAAAGTTATCGATTCTGCCATTTTTTGAATAATAAAATATTGATACAAATATATACGTGTAAATTAAAATTGCGAAAAGATTTATAATTATCGTATATTATTATTTGCGTTTTATGTAGAACAAAATATAGTCAAGATGTACCATGCATACGTCAATACCTTGGAACTGGAACATCGAAGAACTTCGAGAAAGAATTAAAAAAAATCGGAAATTTCTATTTACAACGAATCGTAGAAAAATACATATTTCGTAGCGATTGCAATTCTATCAAAGTTTTTAGAAATTTTCAGAAATTCTTATTTTCAAACGAAACGTAGAAAAATACATATTTCGTGGCGATTGCAGTTCTATCAAAAAATTGCAAAGTTCTAATTAAAAAATTACTAAAATAATCCGAGAAAAATTCTTTAAATAATTAAAATGAAATGCTTTTTAGCGTACGATTCGTTGTCAATGATGTCGTCATCGCGGTCGAAAACGATCTCGTGGTCGTATTACGCTTCGAGACTTCGATCTGAAATGTCTCATACGGGACGCTCTCATTATTTTCGTACTCGAGTTATTCCGTCAGCTGTTTCTCGATCCAAGGATTTGACGCAACAGTTGTATAATATAACAAAGAACCACGATAACGAGAGGCATCTTTTCTCTACGATTTGCAGGCGTTGATTTGGACGCTGGATCCATCATCGGTATCGTCTTGGGCGTTCTGGTGCTCGTACTCATTATTTTCCTCGTAATCTTTGCACGCGCGACCGGCCGCTGGTGCTTTGCAGGTGAGTCGATTTAGAAACGTAGATACTCGGTAAAAGAGACCCTCTTTAGATTATATATGCTACGTATTATATATATATATATACATATATATATGTCAGCCTCACTATTTTTCTTTCGTGCTCCCTAACGATTTGGTTGCGCGGGAAACGGTCGGGAACGCAAACACCGTGGAGCCGGAAATACCGTAAAATTTGAGTAAGAGACGTCGTTTGCGCAGAACGAGTAACTTCCTGGAATAAACGCGAGCTCATTAAAGCTATTGGGATTGTATACGGTCAATTATACCAAAGATGAGTCGGGGGAGACGAGAGTAGCAAAGTTGAAAAGAGGTGAACCTTTTGATAGTAAATAGTTCGCTTCTACCTTTTTCTACGTTCCTCCCGCTCTATGACCCCTGAATAAATTTATCAAATTTACGAGTAGTGAAAGATTAAGAATAACTCCAATGTGTACGCACAAGTCGATGAAAAATGGAGAAATTTGCATCGTATGTCAAAATTTAATTGTAACAAAACGACAGATACGATAGGTATAGAGAAATAGAAGATCGTTGTAGTTTGTTGCTTTCGTTCATGACCGCAGCTTTAATTATTTAGCCTTAATCCAGTTATTTGAACAAAATTAACTTTGCACTATGACGTTTACTCGACAAGTGTGACAAACGTACACTGAAAGCTCGCCGTTTGTCTCACGGAGGGAAATGTCTGAAGCGTACAGCATCCGTAGGTGTAGTATGAATAACCAAGGCAAAATTCTGGATGTTTCAAGATGTCTGTGGAGGCTACGCGCTGTATTGAAAACAATGAATAAAATGCTCGCCGATATAAAATTGATAATGCGATGAGAAACGATTGATACACTTTCACTTTCTTGCTGTGATTGTTGTTGTCGCTGTTGTCGTTACTTTATTACCACATAGTTGATTGTTTCCGTAAACGTTGCGCCACGATCGCGTGGATCGCAGTGTCTGCTGCAGTATGCGATTAGCCTAAACGCGAGGTGATTATCGCACCGGTAGCACAATATGCGCGTGCAGTAGAGACGTATATACTGGGTTTATCTAATTAGTACGCCCCGAAGTAACCGTCTAATGCCGCTATACCCTAATATGTACGTTATGTAAGTACCTATATACAATGATATACGTAGTTTGTTGAAACGACCTACGCTGGCCAATGTTTTTTTTTTTAACAAAACGACGTTCGGTCCCAGATTTGGACCCTTTTCAAGTAATCTGTTGACGCAATTGTTAACGATCTCACATCGTTCGTATGTTAGTAAGATATTACGTCAAAAAGTGATTGTTCAATCTGATATCTGGTCCAACACACATCTCTCGATACTTTTACCTGTGTTTAACAATTAACGATGCAACCACAATTGACTTTGCACTCTTCAACCAAAGAGTGCAGTCATTTTTTTACTAATGTCTTACTGACGCAACGATATTGGCCAAACGAACGATAGGAGATCGTTAACAATTGTGTGAACGGTTCACTTGAAAAGGGTCCAAATCTGGAACCGAAAGGTCGTCTTTTTAAATAAAAACATTGGCCGGTGCGGGTCGTTTAAAAAAACTACATATCATTGGTTCGAAACCACTGGCGATATTAAATCTATTTGTGAGTTACCTATATACATATAAGTATACTTTTATATCTGAACGTGTACGATGTCTTATGTGTTGTGCCGCTACGCCGATGTAGGACAGCATGCGAGTCGGGCCAAGTAAAGAATACGGAGATACGCCAACGATTACCTTGCGATTCCGTACTCTAGGCATGACACTGTCCAGGGGTAAGTCACCTCTCAGGCAGAGAAAGCCCCGCCCGCAACCCCCCCAATTCTCTGAAACAATGCTCGTTCTCGTTCATCATCGACCCGTCCGCTCGCTCGTCACCTCTTTTTCTCCGCGGGATCATTTTTATCAGCCTCACGACACCCTCTCTCGTTCTCTCGCGCCATCACCTTCAGCGCCGGCTTATCGACGACCACGAGCCGTCTACTCGTTTGAGTGGTAGACCCGCCACCCCTTCGAATTTAATACACTTTTCGCCTGCCGCTCGCCTCGCGCTCTCGTCTCGCAAGACCCCCCTGACGTGTTCTCAAATTTTTACGCCGCGCCATCATTTTTATTTGGCACGTGTCGATACCGAACCGTTTTATCGATTTATGGCTTGCGTTTTATATTCGCCGATAAATATCCCGTTTCCCTCCGATTAATCGATCGCGCGCCTCCGCCGCGTTCTCGCTTTCGTTGGCCGAGTCCGGGGCTGTGACGCGCACGATTTTTGCCCGTTTCCCCCTCCCCCCCTCGCGGGATTGTTTTATGGCTGTATTTTGGCATGTGGAATCGCAAGCTTATCTTGCCTGCGCTATCTTAGGGAGCGGGAGTTCTTAAAAAGACACGTGCGATAAGCATGACGTTCGGCGAGCCAGAAAAAGGATTATTTTTCACGGGGATATTTTCGAAAGCACGTTTTCGTAATCGGAGACGATGGAAGCCAATTATAGCGCTTGGCAGCTTTAAGAATTCGCTTTCTTTTACGAGAAACGTTCGGAGTTCATGTTCTCCCTCACAGTTTCGTGGCCCAATTTACGGCCGGCGAGCGAAATAGCATCAGAGTATCGCGCGCGCGCTCGCGGTATCGAGAATTCCGATGGAAAACCGCGAAGACCGCAGAGTTTAAGGTTTTTTTTTTACGGCCGACACTATTTCGGGCAATCACAAATGCCCGGACGTTAAAATCGTTCTCCCGACATCTCACCCCCTCCCCCCGCCCCTACGTAATTATTTCATGTAGGGATGCATTCGAACATTTCGATAAACTCTGAACTGCAGAATAAATTCGGATACGTTTCCGCGTATCTTCACGAACTGACGCTTCGTTTCCTCCGCGTCGATAAACGAACGAACGTGAGGTACAAACGCAAAGCGTTCGATCGAGACACGACGACGATCAGACCTGGGAGAAATAGATTACACAGTAAAAAATACAATGCCAATGTTAATGTTTTTCACGTGTCCCAAAAAGTCCACTCTAAGTTGTAAGTTAAAGTAACATTCATCGCGTGTGTTACCTCTTGACAAGTAATAAATGTTAATTAATCGACACTACCCCTCACATTTGTGTTTGTTCTTTTGACCGTAAGTGTGATGTAATAAAAACAGACGGGGCAAGTAAGCTGTACGAATAGTTACATATTAACGTAGTTGAAATAATTTTTAAGAAAGTCGATGCTACATGTCTCGGTTGATTTTGTGAAGTAGTTGTGTTAGAAAAAACTCAAAATGAATTTTTAAATGACGTACATAAAGTGTCAAGCTATTATGTTAACATAAATGTAACACGTAAAAGTGTTACGAAAACAGATCTGTTTCATGTTAATTTTACATTGAAATAATAATCAGGTCTTGGTAGCACAAGAAAATTTTAACATTTTAACGCACGATTTTTTACTGTGTAAGTACACGGGAGGAATTTTTTTCTTAAAGCTTATCCCGAAAGTCATGTAATCGTGGGACAACGTGGCGTTTCGGAGAATTTTATGAGAGTTGTTTCGAAATTTTGCCATCCATTTTACTGATGTGTGGTAAAATTCGCAAAGATGCACCCTCATAAAATTCTTCGAAATGCCACGTTGTTCAACGATTACACGATTTTCAGGATAAACGTTAGGAGAACGTTCTCTCCGTGTATGCAATTCGTTTGATTCTTTTTTTTTATGGAGGAAAGTATTTTATTTCTGAAGCAATTGAAGTATGTATACGCATAAAGCTACACATGTACGATTAAGTCATATTTGCTTTTCTTTTTCTTTTACAGTGCAACTAGACTATTTTCGGCTACGACTTCCGTCATCGATGTTATTTCCGTAATCGATAGCTATCATTCCCTACCCGAATCGTACTCGATACACATCACGTCATCGACCTTCATCCGCATGCCAATAGTATCTGCTCCGTAGCTAATTAACGATAATTTAAGCATAATTTGTCGCCACGTGTTCACGATTGTACGCAGGGTTGGGAAGTAACTCGTTACTTGTAACGAAGTTACGGGTACAGTTATTTTTTTTTGTAACTCTAACTTGACTTCGTTACTTTCTCTCTATCTGTAACTGTAACTTAACTCAATTACATATATTTTAAACCTCCACAGGTCGCACTAGGCCTTGCATTTGCACATAAGCGCCTTTGTCGACACTTTACAATTCAAGTGCAGATTTGACGTTTTTATTTTTATCGCAAGAAAGTAACGATTCGTTACTTTTTGAGTAACTGTAACTTTTCAGAATTGGTAGCTCGTAACTGCAACTAGATACTTTTATAAAATAACTTTTCCAACCCTGATTGTACGTCTCTCGCGCGAGCCTTATAGCCTGTTTACACTGCGTGATTTTTTGAGCATGTTATTTCTACAGCATCGTCAACGCCGGTATCGGTTTGCGAGTGCAGCTACTGTGTGCATTGCCGGATACTGTATCGTGAAATTGGTGACAGCAATTGATACCGTATTACTATTTATTTTCGCACCTTGCGGACAGTGCAAAATCTGTGGCGAGGATCACAATGTAATGCTGTACATAGACTATGATTTTTATCGAGTTTGAAAATTCGAGTGGTGCGAAACACGCTGTAAGCCGCTGGGCGAGAACACATAGCGCTCCTTCCCTTTTCTTTCTCGCAACAAGCAACGATAAGCAATCGGCAAAGGCAAGTGTGGTGAAATTGTTTCCCGAGCGGAAACGACCCGGCTCGTTCGCCCGATACCAATTATCTTCGCGTGCTTTCTTGACACTCGCTCCGTCGCCGTTTTAGCGTCTTCTTGGTTACGATAGAAGCTACGAATCTACCCCTTTTCACCTCGATTTCTGATCGTACAAGCATGTTTTTTCTCACCTCAGAAACCCCGCTCGGCTGTTTATCTGTATCCTTCATCGAGCGCGGATTGAATCTGTGTGTGTGTGTGTGTGTCTTTCGCTATAATTTGCTAAC